TGCTTCGATGCGTGGTGCATTTCAAAGAATGTTCGGGATGACAAAATACCAGCACATTTCATCACTGCTATTGGGCTAGATGCGTATAGCCTAGTAAAGACTCTGTCATTTCCAGATAAACCTATTTCTCTGTCATATGTCAAGATTCGTGAACTTCTGATAAATCACTTTCATGTAACTACATTTGAGACCAGAGAGAGGGCTCAATTCAACAAACTGGTTCGTGCTCCCAACCAGAGAATTAGAGACTTTATTCTGCAACTCCAAATACAAGCTTCAAAGTGTAATTTTGGAGATCAGCTGCATACTCAACTACGTGATCGTCTAATTGCTGGAATCAATATTCCTAAGTTAGAGAAAGAGTTAATTCAGATTCCTTCTTGTACTTTTCAAACTGCTAAAGATTTATGTATTACATATGAAGATGTCAATAATGAATACTCTGCTCCCACTACGTCAGTGTCTGATGTTATGCTTTCTAAAGTCGAAAATACAAGTGGTAATGGAAAGCAATCCAAACTGCCGTCCACAGGTAATAGAATGCAGCGAGAGATCAAAAACATTAAACCGTGTTTTTCCTGTGGAAAGTTACATCTACGAAGCACTTGCCGTTTTCGGGGTGCTAAGTGTCACAAATGTGGTAAAGTTGGACACATCAAGACGGTTTGCAGAAGTTCGAATACTTATGTTGCTCAACATTCTTATAATTCTCCCAAGCTGTCTAGTAAAATGGAGTCAATGTGTCTTTCAACCTTTCAAAATACTCAAGCTAATCCAATGAAAACCTCCACTACAAGTTCGGCAACTCAAGTGTCAACTGTTCTCAAAAATGTGGTAGCCGAGTTACAATGTGAACTGTCGAAAACACGAAAAAACCTGAATGAGATGAGAGAGCAACTGATTAAAATGGAGGAATTGCTGCATATGCATAGACTGAGTTTGTTGAATGCAGAGCATACAAGTACCCGTGAAAGTCCTGCAAAACTTTTCAAATCTCGAATTCTCAAAAAGCATCTGATGTCCACGACTTCTAATGTACATTATTACAAAGGGAAAGACTATAGACCTTCTGTTGGAATTATACTACAAAAAATGGGAAATCGAGTGGTGAAGATATTAGACATCAAAGATCACTCAGTTCATAACAGACACCTGGACAAAGTGACAATAAATGAAGTAGGTCGTTCCAATTATTATTTTAATGATTCCGCTAATAATCCTGATTTTGTAGATAATTCAGAAATAGGTCCAGATAATACTGATGAAAATAATATCACAGAATCAGTTAGGTCGCAGCTACTTGCAAGCAAACCGAGACATCGTTATAAGTACGCAAGGAGACATTCGACGTGTGGCGGATGTGGTGATTGACAATTTCTATCTCTGTATCGTTTCAATACTTACTGTTGATTGTTAATATGTTTCTTATATGAATTGCAGAATAATTTCGCTAAATACAAATTCCTGAGTTCTGCCCTCTCTGTGTTTTGCTTGGATTCGTGTAATTCGGTCATCTCGAAATACTAAAACTATGATTACGATAAATTACTACAGAGTTCTTCCGAAGCCTGCAGTCGTGTGGTTAGACGAGGTTTCTGTCTTTCGCTTGAGGCTGCTTATACAAATAACTCCACTGAGAAAATATTTAGAGACTGCTTGCGAGTGGACTTATCCACCTTGTAAAAAGCAGACTTTATCAACAGCTCTCATCGCTTCCCATAAGGCATGGTTGCTTTGTCAGCTGGTTAGCAGTATAAATGTGTTGTATGTTTAGGACATTGTCGCCTAAGGAGACCATGAGTCATGTCATTGACAAAGGGTTTGTTTATTTATTTGAAAATCCGTAGTTTAAGACTGCAACTTCTTCCAAATTCAGTTGTTTGCATGAGTAGCGATGTGTCGTTTCTTTTCTTAATGGAGATGCACTCTTCTCTAATAATGAACCGTTTGTGCGGGTACCTTTATTAGTGGAAACCGAAAACTTTCAAGAGTCTGAAACTCCGAATCGTTGGCTTTCTTTCAACCACTGATCTCGAGCTAAGGGGTCTCTGAAAGCCGTTCCACTTCTCAACTAACAACTACCGAATATCGAATATTGTCAACAACATGGCAAACAACCTAATTCTACATAACTATGTTATCTGTCTATTCAGTATGCATTGCGACCTAAGCTCAAAGACAGAAGTGCACTTTCACTTTTTTATATTTTTCAGAGATAGAGTGGGATGGGTTGGAGTTAGGTGTTAGGGATAGATAAGGGATAGGCTAAGGTTGGTTCATGAAAAAGGGTTAGAGTTATCACTGAGTTAGGGGAAATATTTTCTTTTTGGCTGAACCGCTCCTCCCAAGGTCGTTGGTGCATTCATGGCAGTTGGTGTCTACTCCTAAAAGTTTCCCTTTGTAATCTTTCGTCACTAGTAGCATTATAGCTGAAAACACTAGAATGTTTTAAGAGGTTCATACCTTTGGATGTGCTGTGATGCTAAAAGCATTCTGTTTTATTTCTTCTCATGAATTTATATGTTTTTTCAGTCTACTGAGTTCATACTTTGATGTGAGTTTTTGTAACGCTGTCTATCCCGATCGTCTCATTAACGCTTAAGCTGGAAGCTGTAGTTATGGAATCACTAGATGTATTCGCTCTGTCTACGCGTATATTTGTTTTTTAAACTGCGAACAAGTAAGATTCATACAGGCTGCGTTTACTTAAATAAAACTATTAGCATCAATAATAAATAATTGAGTCTGTAAGTAGTTGAAATGGAATTTCATGAAGTACTCGTTTTAGTTTGTCCCCTCATGACAAACGATTGAATTAATCAAGGGAAACTGACCTGCCGTTTACCTGATCTCCTATGATATTAATGCGATACATTGATTTCTAGTAAAACCCAAGTTAATTCTCACTTTACGGTCATTCGGCTGACAGGATTCTAGGGATAGGATCACCATGTATCAATACCTCGAGTAGTTTAGTACATTCATTGTGGCGGCCAACACTTGTCTTCATTCAGCGACTTTAGCAACAAAAAGCATACTACTTGAAAGTACTGCTGACATGAGACAAAATCCTCATTGGTTGAACCGTCTAAGGCAGGTGAAATTTAAATTCACCAAAGGAAGGAAGACGAAATTTACAATATAAAATGATGTTATCATTCTATTTCACTGGTCTCATCAGATACACAGACTAACTGAAATTTCAGTGATTATAAAAACTGACAGCAACACACTCCATTGTTAGAATGGTAGTGGAGAAAACACTATGGAATTGACACCTCCGAAATATTAACAGCAGTACAATTACAAGTTACCGTCAACTTATATTCTTTCAAAAGAGACAATGAAGACGACGGGGGAGAATAAGATAGGGAACAGAAAAATCTAATCAACAGTGTTAGTCAGCAAGTCCATGTGTCAACTCGAGAAGGTTATAGTTCACAAAATTGAGAACTCGCACAGTGGGTTGAAATCACTAATATGGCTGACTATTCAGTGTAATCATGATCAAAATGCAGTTAATACAGCTCCTCCTTTGAAAGCGAGATAAATGCAAACTTTCTTCTTTTCAACAATTGGATGTTTCGTTTTCTCGCCTTCTTTGCATATCCCCAAAAGATTCATACCTAAAGAGATTCAGATATTCTCAAAGTTCAATTACCAGACACTTTGTAGATACCTCCGGGTTTTTCGTCGAGATTTAAAAATCATTCGAAACATTAAGCATACAAAGGACAACAAATGTACTACGATTTGCTGAAGCAGTTGTGATCAAACCTAATCTATCAATCAATCTTTCACTTCAATGGTAACTGCATTTTGATCATGATTACACTGAATAGTCAGCCATATTAGTGATTTCAACCCACTGTGCGAGTTCTCAATTTTGTGAACTATAACCTTCTCGAGTTGACACATGGACTTGCTGACTAACACTGTTGATTAGATTTTTCTGTTCCCTATCTTATTCTCCCCCGTCGTCTTCATTGTCTCTTTTGAAAGAATATAAGTTGACGGTAACTTGTAATTGTACTGCTGTTAATATTTCGGAGGTGTCAATTCCATAGTGTTTTCTCCACTACCATTCTAACAATGGAGTGTGTTGCTGTCAGTTTTTATAATCACTGAAATTTCAGTTAGTCTGTGTATCTGATGAGGACCAGTGAAATAGAATGATGACATCATTTTCTACTTCATATCTAACCTTTCTTCCTTATCGAAATTTTTCAGGGGAACTATGCGTAGTTGGGTAATAACTGTGTTTTCTGAAATATTTGCTTTTTATCAGCATTTTGATGTCAATCTAACGGTCATATGAGTCGATCTACTCGTCGAGTAATAAGGGATAGTTTCTGTTCATTTGTAAACTATGAATCTCATGTACCAGTCAATCTATCTTTGAGGTGAAACAAAAACAACACACACACACAAACACATGATACTAAAGAAATTCTTGAAAATAACACAGAAGGTTTACATTTGTTCTAATTCATGAAAGAAACAATACATTAGTTGACTGATACATGAACGGAAAGCATACACTTATATAACATCGGTTATTTCATATTCACCAAAATAAGTTATAACAAAAAAGAATTTGTTCATTTAAACCACAGTTATCAATAATGGTGATAAATCAATACTGACAAGTTATATAAATTCACTCTTTTAAATTAAACGAATTTGATAGAGTGTAACCAATAGTGATAATAATACTTTGTCGCTAAGGAAAATATAGGATTTTCTAAATTGAACATTGAATTTGCATAAATAACTCTCTTGATGGGTTAATAATAGAAGTTGGATAGATAATATTTGTAAGGCAAAGTAAATTTCAAATCAGAAACAAATAATTTATAAAAATCTGTTTGAATTTTAACTCATTAAGAATTTACAAGGTCGAAGGAAGTATTTTTCCGCTTTGTTTGAATTGTATGTATGTATATATATATAAGCCACGATTTTGAACGTTGAGTTCTGATATATATTTTGTTTTTTATTTAACACAAAGAAACCTCGTTTGCATACAGCTTTAAAACTGATCCAATCCAGTTTAGACTTTCTTTAGTTGTTGAAGATGGCAATAATAAATGTGATACCAAGAAATATTCATTATGCCATTTTAAGTTGACAAGTACAGGTAATGCAGATATCTAGAAGGATTCAAATTCATTTATAACTGATTAATATCTGATAATCAAGAGTATAAAATAACGTATAGACAAAATCCATTCAGTACAGTATAAAAGTCCTACTTACTTACTACGTCTGGTAACTCATGACAACACAGTTAAACCAGACTATATTCTCTCTACGTCGGTGGCACAGTGGTAGAATGCTAACCAACCACGGCAACCGACGCGCTCCTTTACCTCGTCAAGCCAGCAATAAAACTGGTAAAGAGAGAAGGTTGGGAATGAGGCTAGCAAACCCATCCCGTAAAAATAAAATGTCACTGCTACTGAAACTTCAAGCCTCTAACTTGAAGCCCTATGTTCCACTAGGAACGTGAAGGAATAAAAAAAACAACAGGATGGGATAAGATAATCGTCTTAAAATCCACTATAACGGAGTGGTGGGAAAGACTCATAACTTAAGCTTTATTCATCGAATCAAATGAGAACACCTGCAACAGAAATGATTCAGCATTTGCTTCAAACATCTGGAAAGTTCTACTGACCCTTCCAACAAATGGGAAGAAAGAAAAATAACTCATACAAGTCTCAAAGTTTGCAGTTACACTTGATATAATTAAGAACAATAAATTTTGTCCAAAATATCATCTAGTATATAATATTGTTTCACTGAGTGATATAGAGGATGGTGGACAGCTGTTTCGTCTTAATTTGCTATTCTTCTTTCAGTACTCACCCACCACTGGAGTTTGACCCAAGGACCTCCCGATTACAAGGTGAGCTCGTAGACCATCCAGCCACTAATATCAGCTGCAATGTCCTATGAAGTCTGGCTCCAGTTAAGTCGTGATATATGTGAAGAAACCCCAAACAGGGTTCATCAAGTCAGGTAAGAGAAGAGTTACTCATCTGTGACACCGGCTGGCCGTCGGTTTATACATATCACGAAGTGGCAGAAATCGGAATTTATTGGCCATTGTAATTGGTCTCCATGGTTGATAGGCCTGATCGACCTTGCCTAGTGACTGGAAGATCTTAGATTTGAACTCTGGTTGGTTCGTGCTACTAAAGAGTCGTGAATTAGGACGAAATAACTATCCAGTAGTTTCAGGTAAAGAGAGGAATGTAATGAACAGTATACAGAAATATATACGATAATCAAACACTTACAATCTCTAGAAACATAAAAAGTCAAAATATGTCTGCAATACTGAGTGGGCAATACCGTTTAAAGTGGATTCAGTTATGGGAAAGGTGAAAACCTAAACAGAACAGAAAAGGAAATCTCCATTCATAAAAATAACGCAGTCAGACAAACCTTCTGAGGAATTAGCCACCCCTCGGCTGAAATTTGTCATAGTTTTTCGAAGACTGTTGATAAGAAGGGATGAAATTCAATTTTTAACTTTACAAGGGATAAGAAAATTGACAGTAGCATCAACGATTTGCAATATCATGAATGCGCTACCCCTAAAGTATCCGGAACCAGAGAGAAAAGGCTATTCAGTGCCTGTTGGTTTACATCGGTTCCCAGACTGACTTCATCCTATATGAATTAATATTCCTAGTCGAGTAGACAGGTGGGTCGCCATTTTGAAATGTCAGAGCATGATGAACGAACGCATCGATTGACCTTTCCTTCTTACTCAACACCTTATACAGAACCATCTAACATGAGAAATTGAATTCAAATATTTAATTCAATTTAGATTTTCCCGTCAATTGATTGAACAGATTGACATGTCGGTTCCTTGTGCATATGCTTCGACGATGTCTGGTCATGTAACTTTAAGTCAGTTGGTAGATGGTGACTAGAAGTAGAATCCAGGATGAGACCTAGCTCTTCAGTTCACTCCATTGACAGGGAAATCTAAATTGAATTAAATAACTGATAAGATCCGTTGCGCAAGAGGTGGCTCTCGTGGCCAAAGTGGTCTAGTGGACAAAGCTTCAGCATTTGAAATTATTGGCACTGGGTTCGAGTATCGGTGGGGACACCATCACTTACTGGGGCATGTTGGTACATCCGACTAACGAGACCCAAATAGGACGAAATGCACCTCCTGGCTAAATTCCACCGCTAGTCAACATCCACCAAGTGAATTCAAACATCTTTCTTCAAAAACAATTAGTTTTTCCATATTTTTCACTTCTGAAGGTCACGTTCAGGACAGAATGAAACGTCGCATAGTACGCAAGTCCACTGACGGATTGACAGAAATCATACCTACACCATAAGGAATGCAGGTTAGTAAATGCCACATTAGCCTTTTGGGTTAGTGCGTAGATTTCAACACCAATCAGTTTATTAGAAGACTCATACAACCTTCCAAATGAATAAATTGGTCAGCACACTCAGCCATTTCACTTCATATGATTAAAAATAATATCAGTAGATGCAGACCAGTCTTTCATTTGTCAGGCTTTCTGTGGAATGCCAGGCTGGCTTTATAGGCTTAGATAATAAGTGCGTAAACCTGTTTAACACCACGTTCTTTATTATCTAATAAATGATTCATTTAAGCCTTCAATCAATAATAATACATGGATTAAAATTTCTAGAAATAAATGAAGGAAAGACTTAAAATAAAAACACAAATCAAAGAAAATTTTAATTTATTGAAGATGCCCTTAGAAAAATGTAAAATACTGGCTAATGGATAAAGAATATTCAGATTTTCGCTGACCTCCTCGTCATTAGGCTCTAAGTTTATAAGACAGTGATAACTAGAGAAACAACAAATTCCCTTGTGAGAAAGAATTCCAGAGTGAAGCTGCCTTTTTAGACGTTCTATTGACAAGAAGACTAGAAGGTAGCAGATAAAGGAATTTGCATAAGATTAGTACTTGGAGTGGTCATTATACACACATTTTCACAGCTTTCTTCCTCTTCAGTATAAAAGAAATTTAATAAAGACCCTCAGCCATAGGGTCAGTGTTCAGAAGATGCGATTGAAGATGACACATTAATTCAAAACAGCTACCCTTAAAAGTTCATCATTAAACACATGGTCAGTGAAAGTCGAAGAGAATTCTCCTGTACCTATTAACAAGAAGACTATTCCTATGTTCACGACTACAATTCAAAGGTGATAGATATACCATGTAAAATGATAACCGACCACAAGTTGAGCTGCCACTAACCTGCAGCATATATTCTCCACACAACGGTTGTGATTCCTCAACTGAAAGATGAGGTACACAGGCTAACCACCTCCAACTGTATCTATCATTTCACCTGCTCCTGTGGAACCAGTTATATTGGCAGTTAGTTTTCTCAGAAACCCAATTATTCGTGCTCGGGATCACCTATCAGTATGGTTAAATAAAGGTGACTGTTCTATATTGAACCACCTCCTGCAAACAGTCCATAAAGCTAATGCTGAAGAAGTTTTCTCTATCCTCTATTGAGTATCGAATAAATTATCAAAGGCCTATGGATATCGAACTCTCCAAACACCCGAGGCCATTGCAACTCGCCTTAATCAACCGGAGCTCTACTTACAGAAGAATCAGTTCCAGCCAGCCACTACTGCTACCCTGCTCTTAGTGTGGAATCGATAAATTCATAAATTCCGTGTTATTGCCTCCTTTAATTAATCTGATATTCAGTTTAATGTCGCGTTAATGCATACTATCTCTCTCTCTCTCTTACTGATACTTTTGAAATGTAATCACCTATCGATTCTAACTATTGAATCAATGTAATTTAAAACAGCATTAATCTTATTAATAACAATAATTCTTTAATTATTACTATCGATACTCAAGATCAAATGGTCAGCAAAGATCGGCAACATGGATCTCTGGCGATGAGCGAACTAACCCACCAGGAACTGATTGTGTAACAAATATGCAGGAAGAAATGCAGATGGATTGGCTGGCCATATTCTGAGAAAACAAACCATCAAGTGACATCAAACGCCAGGCCATCTCTCGAAAGGAACCCGAACGGGAAACAGCTAGTTGGTTGTCATTGCGAGGATGACATGGAGTAGTTCATGTGACAGGGAGATGAAAGCATGTAGAAAGACGTGGAGCCAGGTGATAGAAACGTTGGCGCAGAACCGAACTCAATGGAGACGTGTGGCTGAAGCTCTACGTTCCTCTAGGAACTAAATGAAACAATAATAATATAATATAAGACAGATTCAGCGAAGAAAATTTTCTTTATCGACGAAATCATCTTCAGAGGCTGTACAGTCGTATTTTTACTTACAAAAATATATAGTGGTCTACCATTGAGTAATAGGGGGTGACATAATTGATATAATTACTCAGAAGTGGCTTTAGAAGTGAAAATGAAAAGTTGTAAATTACGTGATACTCAACGGAACAAAGATAGAAATTTGATAAGGTTAAAATTGCTCTTGAGTGAGAATTAAGGTGGTACTTGAGTGTCAATTTAAAAGTGTGAAGAGAGTGTAAAAATGTACAAAAGGAGCATATGAGAGTGATAATACTGAATTAATTATTAAAGCAAAAGCAAACTTAAAGTGAAATTGAAAATTAAAAACAAAAGAAAAAATCAAAATTCTTTTACAGGGAACGATTAGTGAAGAGGTTAAGACCAAGGTAGAATAAGAGACTGGACAAACGTTTTCTGTATACAGAGTTCAAGGTTGTATTGATGAATTGCCAGCGCCTCCACCATACACAAAAGCCGAAACCTGACGCCCTTTGTACCATTTGGCTTCACTTTGTAGATGATCTTCTCGAGCATTTGGAGAATTCAGGTCACGTAGCTCCACCAGAGTCGTCTTTCAAGATCATCTACAAAGTGAAGCCAAATGGCACAAAGGGCGTCAGGTTTAGGCTTTTGTGTATGGTGGAGGCGCTGGCAATTCATCAATACAACCTTGAACTCTGTATACAGAAAACGTTTGTCCAGTCTCTTATTCTACCTTGGTCTTAACCTCTTCACTAATCGTTCCCTGTAAAGAATTTTGATTTTTTCTTTTGTTTTTAATTTTCAATTTCACTTTAAGTTTGCTTTTGCTTTAATAATTAATTCAGTATTATCACTCTCATATGCTCCTTCTGTACATTTTATACCCTCTTCACACTTTTAAATTGACACTCAAGTACCACCTTTATTCTCACTCAAGAGTGATTTTAACCTTATCAAATTTCTAACTTTGGGCCGTTGAGTACCACGTAATTTACAACTTTTCATTTTCACTTCTAAAGCCACTTCTGAGTAATTATATCAATTATGTCACCCCCTATTACTCAATGGTAGACCACTATATATTTTTGTAAGTAAAAATACGACTGTACAGCCTCTGAAGATGATTTCGTCGATAAAGAAAATTTTCTTCGCTGAATCTGTCTTTTATTTTCTTAATAATATAATATAATATTACTATCATGTAAATAGATGCAGAACCTGTTGACGAAGAAGACGTGATCGAAAATCTGAATATTCTTTGTTCATTAACCAGTCTTTTATTTCAACCAAAAGGAAACATCCTCGAAAAAAATAAAAATTTTTAAAGACAAAAAACACAGTTTATGTTACCTTTACAATCTGTTTAAATGTTTCACCAGCTGGATGTTTCTCAAAACAGCTAAATAACCTTTGAGCATTTATTGATCCTTTATTCTTCGCAAATTGATTTCTATTGTTATTTTGTGTAGTACACTTGTAAAAGTTGTTTTCATTATCTAGCGAAGATTCATACTCTCCAGTATAAAATTCTGTACGTGAAGTTGTAGACGACTTGCGTGAGCGATCGTCATCCCGTTGTGTATGTCCATCCGGATGATGATAATACGGTTGTTGTTGGCGTTGTTGTTGAAGGTGATGATGTTTATTAGTTGCTTGAAATCTTGATGCCATATCTGACTTTGATTGTCTCACCTCTGATGATGATGTCAGTATATCATGTGGATTTCGCCTTTGAAGTGAGCTATGCGGAGGAGGCGGAGGTTGAGGAGGACGATGATGGTAAGATGACGAAGAGTGAGATTGTCTTTTCTGTTTTTCATATTGTTGAATGATATTCTTCATATAATAATTACTTGACTTTGTCATATTTGTCATATCTAATGGCCATATCAATAGATTATTTTCATAAAGTCTGCCTGTAAAACGTTTTGAGCATAGCACATTTGAAACGAAGTGCATAGCACCATCTGCTTGACTATCGTGTAGATAGATAAGTAATGGTCGAATTTGCTGTATCACATACAAAAAAGAGACCATTTAAAAATTTCACTGAAATGGTGAACAGTGAGAAATTTGGAACTAGTACTTTTGATAATAGTCAGACAATGACACTTCATTTTTTTTAGTTAAGTTTGTTGAGACAAGTTTAAGAAGACTCTCACGAGAGTGGTTATACAACACTAGTTCAATCCTCCGACAGGACATCTCTATTTTGTATCGTTGTGTGTAGTCCTCCTAAGCTGGTCGCATGAAAACCCATAAGCCTTGAATCCTCCTCACACTATCTCCTCTATGGCACATTAGGATCCAAGCCCAACTCATCGTTTCCCATTCGAGCAATGGCCTGGAGTGTGATTTCACTTGGTAGTCTTCTGAGCATGTTTCCGAGATCACTGAGTGACATCCAGTGGCTGAATGGCCTATAAGTTTGCCTTGTGACAGGAATGTCCAGGGTTCGAAACCCGTTGGGTGTGCACTGATGGGGAGTCCCAAACTAAGACAAAACATCCATCCAGTATTCCTTGAAAACTGCATTGGAGGTTCAACGGCGGAATACTCGCCAACAACGGATGTGGTCTGGGATTCGACCTCCAGCCGACACACTCCTTAAGCTCACTAAGCCGGAAGTAAGGCTAGTAAACATGGTAAGTTGGGTGGGAAGCTAGCAATCTCATCCCGTAAAAAGAATTAAACACTACTGCTGCCAAAACCTCAAAGCTTAAGCTTGAAGCCACTGTTCTGCTTGGAAAGCGAAGGAATAAAATAACCGGTCCGAAGTCCGCGGAAAGAGGGAGCTTGGGCGTGAAGCTAAGGATTTTACTCTGGAAAATCAATCAGGTTGCTACAGAAACTTCAGAGAACAAGAAAATTCAAGTGAAAGCCGAATAAATTTAAGAATAACTAATCTAAATGAATTCTGTCTATTGTTTATGTCTTATATGCATTATGGCAGGACACTCATTACTTAGCGGTAGTTCCGAATATCAAGCCTTAATATCAGCTTTCTATAGAAACAAGTCACCTATTGTTTTATTTTATACATAGCACAAGACATGAATATCACTATTTCAATTTCCTTGTATAGAATCATGTGTGTATGTGAAAAAGTTTACCAGCCGGTGGTAAGCCCAGAATTTCAGTTGTCAGGTTAGTAACCTCATGCTTTCAAAAAGCAATACCATGTCACTCTGAAGGGAATGAAATATGCACTGGGTGGAGAACTCCCGCCCCCCGAAACAAGCTAGGTTAAGGAAAGGCGAACCATGTGCGGATCAAATAGAAACTCTGTGCATTATCACCGAAGAGAGCACAGAATGGGGAGGGGGTGGCGCAAATCTTTAACTCAACTTCAGCGACTTTGAAAAGGCTACAGCAGTATTGAGAGTGAAGTGATTTGAAAACTACTTCGACAAATTCTTACCAGCTTCATTCAATAGCAATTTGACAATGCAGCATGTCAGGTGATTAAAAGCGGAAAACTCAGCGATGCATCTGGATAGGAATAAGTCAGAATACTGCCTAATGTCGCCATAGGTATTCCTGATTTTAGTAGACCGCATCGTTCAGCAGTCCATGGAGAGCTAGGAGAGAGGAATATGTTGGACCGATAAAAGGACCCCACAGGATTTTGGAGTTCACAGACGAATTATGTGTAACATTGCAAAAATTCGAAAACTTACAAGGAAAGCCAACAAGAAGGCAGAAGAAGCAATACAGATGGGAATTCAGGTGAACACACAGAAAATAGAGGTGATGAAGATACGTGACCAACAGACAAGTCAGACCTTCATCACTACGAAATCAGTTTGGAAATCTTCTGCACTCAGCATAAACAACAAAATTTGGGTTTTCAGCACAAATGTTATGTCAGTCAGAAACTTGGCCTACGCATTACGAAAAGCATTTTTGAAAAGACTTTTATAAACAACTGTCTTCACTGCATACTGAAGAACAGATAACTGGACGAAAAGAATAAGCAACAAGAAGGTCTGGTAACGAACCAGTCATGAATCTAATGCATATCAGACATTATGAAGAAAATGAGATGGATCGGACATACCCCAAGGATATTGTTGGATGGTATCTCATGCAGTAAAGGCCCACAAGTGAAAGTCGAATAGGAAATGACGAGTTGGATGTCATAGGTTGACATAGAACAGGCCGTCTGAGGAGGAGATGAGGGCCTCTGTGCAACCGTGGGGCCGGCTGAAGATGACTGGAGAGAATTGGATAAAATGGGATGTGCTGTTGAAGCCATATGCTCCATTTGAAAGCTAAGGGAATTATAATAAAGTATTGGTTTGTAGGATTTGACTGATTGGTTACAGGATTTCATCATCAGCTGACATCGCTTAGAGGACCATTGGAAAACCAGCTAGGAGTATTGGACAGCCAGCTGTTTTGTTCACCTAGTTTGGAACTCTTCATCAGTACACAACCACCACCAGAGTTCGAATTCAGGAACTTTTGGTTAAAAGGCTAGCGAGCTCGTAGACCCACTCCATTGGCCAGCCTATGAATTCCAACTTCTGCAGGTCAGGATATGGCGCAACTGGCACTAGGCAATACCGTTGGTGGAGAGTATTTGTCCTTATGCCTGACCTGCTGTACTTTACTGGTCCCGAATTTCCACTGAAACTTCAGGTTACTAACTACCTGAGAAGGGAAGTCGCTAGTGAGCGTCTCATTGACATTCAAGTGTTGGTTTGTGAGGATTTGATTGATTGGCTACAGATTTCTTCATGAGCTGAATTTCTCATAATAATGCCGCTACTGGGACTTCCAAGCTCAAGTCTTTAAGCTTCGAATTCCCCCAGAACTCATAGGAATAAAAAAAGTGAGTCACGCTTACATGCAATACATTATCTATCAAAACAAATAGCGCTTATCCCAAGGATTAGTACCGTAGACTAGATTGTCGGTGGCACAGTGGTTAGGACTCTCGCCAACCATGCACATGGTCCGAGGTTCGATCCCCTGTCGACGCACACCTGATAGCTATGGTCGGCCTGCAAAATTTGGGCTACCGATATCACATGCTGAAAATTCCATACTTGTACCAAAAGTACGATGTGGAATCAAGCTGTAATCAAAATGAAACAAAAAACTGATGTTTAAAGGCATCGATTGAAAAAAGCCTGAGGCAGGTGTTATGCATACTAAGCTGACGCCCACTGACGCCCAACATGTCAAGAAATATAAAAAGTTAAGCACGATTAATTTGGAAAAGGAGTTCAGCGTGATGAACTGCTGTATTTTTGTGCAAAGTTTCACGGTTATCATTCATTTCTGTTTTGACACCCATTTTTCTAAAGAAAGATTTTCAAGCATCTTACTGATATGAACTCACCTTGAATTTATTCAAATCAAAACTACGTATAACTGCAGTTGATAAACGACCAATCAAAAAGGATGGATTACACGGAAGATCTAAAACATACTGTTGATTAAATACTTGTAAAAAGTCGACTGTGTGATAATAGGCATCATTTTGATTGACACTTTGGTCATTCACCTCTCCACCATTATTGCTATATTCAAATATATCAGAAAGTTTAAATAATTCTTGAATGGAATTTGATCCTTTGATAAGACAACTTTTCAAATAGTCCAGTTGACTGCTACTCGTTTGTTTAGCACCACTGTCTGTCAGTGAAGATTGATCATTCTCATTCATATTAACATTAACAAAAGCACTTATATTCTCGTCTTCATTATCACAGCTATCCTCAGACTCAATATCATCGTCATCATCATTATCATCATGACGATGAAGTCGGTGTAATCGTCTGTCGTATCCATCTTTTGAGATAGTTTCTCTTGTTTTCATCAGTTGTAAATTGTTAATATATGGATCGTTTGTCTTGTAGATATGATATTTATTAGTATTAAAATGTGACTTTTGATAACGTGGTAGCTGTTTTGACAGTTTCGGTCTGATGATCATTGTACGATTAGTTTTAAGTAAGGCATCGTATTTCTCAGGTTTATTCATCTTTTCAGTGATGCTTTTAAAGCCTAAAGGTTATTTTACATTTTTAAGAAAATAAAACAGAAATTAACTAATAGTTTCATGTGAATAATTTGATTATTATTTTTAAATTTTATTCTTTTACTTTTCTAATGGAACATTGGGCTTTAAGCTAGAGCTTTGAAGTGTCGATAGCAGTGGTTTAATTTTATGAGGCCAGTGGGGGGGGGAGGATTTTGCTAGCCACACACACCCCCCAACCTTCCCTTTTTACCGGCTTTATCACTGGCTTAGTAGGGTTTAGAGGTGCGTTGGTGCGTTGGGGATCAAACACTAGATCATGTGACAGGTGGTTGGAGAACATTCTGTTGATGAACTACCAATGGACTGGATAATTTAGATAATATAACAATAACATGATTGATTCAAGTTGTATCAACAGAAGATGTACTTTCAGATCTAAACACATAGTAATCTAGGTCAAAGTCCTAGAATTTGTCAAAGAGTGATATTAAAGACTGGTTGACATGTATATGTGGAGTGTGCTACTGACAGGAATTTTGGAGTGGAATATTGTGTGTGATTTGTTTTGCAAGATTGTTGAATACCATTGAGTGACAGATTATACTGTGAAGAAGAGGGATGCAAGATACTTGTGAAACAGTGCAGAAAGCATGAAAGGCAGAAAACAGAAGTAGAATACGAACAATTTGTGCAAATAGGAATTTCTATGTTTTTTTCCTTAACGTTCCCCAGTGGAACATAGGGCTCTAAGCTAGTGGCTTGAAGTTTCTGTAGCTGTGTTTATTTTACAGGATGGGTGTGCTAGCCTCATGCCCAACCTTTTCTTTTTACTAGCATCATTTCTGGCTTAACGAGGTAAAGGAGTGCGTCGGCTGGGGACCGAACCCCGTACCATGTGCATGGCTGGTAAGCGTCCTAATCGCTATGCCACCAACGCACCAATTTCTATGTAAGATTTCTGTATTTTGCAATCACGGTTTATCATCTGCCAAATAAACAATTCAGAGACCAGATACTACGATATTCTGTAGTCGTAGTTGGCGTCACTCCCCTTGGTCAAGTAAGGATTCTGTGGCCTACATTTTTGTAGAGAGACATTTAGAGATTCCTGAGGGATTTTGAGGCCGTCATTGAGTCACTGGGCCTCCGGGATCCAACGACGAAAACAGTGTTCTTTGGGTTCAGCTGGGAGATCAGGTGAAAGCTGTGGAGCTAGCCTAGAGACTTCATGGGAGACCGTCATGCGGCTGATTTCAGATTTCTACAGTTTAGTCAGACAGACAATTGGCACTGCAGTGATATGAGAACCTACAGTTTGGTGCAAATGGAGGTCCACTAGTTTAGACAGTAACGGTGAAAAATCTTCTGCGTTATGCGCCACCGAACCACAGATGAAGATTCATAAAAGCAGCTGTTAGCTTCCCATCAGATGGACTGCGTCAATATCGCTCTTTCTCGCCAACTACATTTACTGAATATGACCCGACTTATGGATACTAACAAGCTGGTGAAAATCACAAATTATTCATATTCCACTTCTTTTGTCTTTATTTCATACTTCCTTCATTGTTTCACAAGGATCTATCACTCCTCCTGTTCGCAACACGGGCCATTGCCTCGCTATTCAATGTCCTCGCAGAAGATATCATAAACAAAATTCTACCTGAAAATTCCTGTCATTAGCACATGACACACATTGATTATGATGACTGATACAACTAGTCAGAAAGCGGTCATGTCGAGCCGAATTGCTCGCTACTCAGATTGAAGTGATCGACACACCGTAGGATCGTTTCACTTGTTAGGGATGGAGCTCATCAGTGGTGTAACTGGACGACTGTAGCAACCAAGACCGACTGGTTGTGGTCTGAATATAGGAAACCGATCTTTTCGTTCTAATCCATATAGCCATTTGAAAGTTCTTTGGGACGCACACACAATCTCAAAACACTCCAGAGACAGTAAAGAGACGATTGTTTGTGACTGGGACTTCTGTGCATAAGAATCATACACCAAATACTTCTCACAGACAGTCCAAAGTCAAAATGAGCTTGGTTCATCAAAAATAAAATCAATCACTTCATAAAACAATACATTATCAATATCATCTATGACACAATCATAAAGAGATGAATTAAAATCGGAGGTGAACAGTGACAGAGACAAATAATAAGTATCAAGTCAACCACCATAGTATATGCAAATTTTAGAACAATCATATACAGTCTAGGAGAAAAAGGATAATAATTACAAATCCTAATAAGTATAGACGTTGTATGGTTACAGGATTTCATCATGAGCTGGCATTGGTTAGAGGACCATTGGAAAACCTGGGAGCACTGGACAGCTGTTTCGTCAGCCTAGTTTGGGACTCTTCAGAAGTAGGCACCCACCGGGTTTGAACTCAGGACCTTCTGGTTACAAGGCGAGCTCGTAGACCTTTAAGCCACTGTCAGCCAATGTCAGCTCATGATGAAATCCTGTAACCAATCAACCAAATCCCTACAAACCAATACTTGAATATAAACGTTGTAATAAGATCTTCTAGGAGGGGTTTTTCAAACAATGATTTCGCTACAATATTATCACACTAACTAAAGATAGTGAAAGCAGATAGTCAAAGAAACTAACCTATAGCATAAAATATTCATTCTTAAATCTTTCTTTATGAAGGAAGGACTATCCAAGCTATCCAAAATAGTTTGGTATTTCTTTTAATTGTAAGGAACTTTTGTTATACCTGAGCTAGTAACTGGTTAGTCTTGCAAGAAACCAGTCCTGGGGTTTCAGTGGGAAATCGTGACTAGTGGGGTGCAGCAGGTTGTATGTGAGGACAAATACTCACCAGTGACATTCGCTAGTGCCAGTCGCTCCATATCGTCAGTTGGTAGAAGTTGAAATCCATGAACTGGCCATTGGATTGTGTCCTAGTGGTCTACAAGCTCACTAGCCTCGTAATCAGGAGCTCCCGGGTTCGAACCCAGACAATGAGTGCGTACTGATGAAGAGTTCCGAATTATGCTGACGAAACAGTCAGCTGTCCAGTACTCCAATGCAGGTTTTTTTGATGCTTCTCTAACCGACGTCAACTCATAATGGAATCCTGTAACCAATCAATCAAACCCCAACAAACCAATACTTGAGAGTCATTTATGTTTAACAAATGAAAAGAATTAAACAAAATATGAATGTTTCCACCAAGCATCTCAAAGCATTTAATCTGGACATTATTATGACTTTGAGATGACAAATCACGCCTTCCTACATATTTCAAACTAACAGTCATATGTTTCATAGTTTTATGTCATCTTCTGATTTGACATACTATAATTTTTCAGACTATAGTGCAATTCCTGAAAAATACAGATTACGGAAGATAATGGTTGTGTATATATGCAATACACTTCCTAGACATTTCAGGAGATGAAGACTATACGTAATCTCTACTACTACTCATAGAAGAGTTCTAGCAACTGTGAGTAGTAGGGTGAAAAGATATGTGATGTAAACCTGTTTGTTTGTGCGTCGGTGGCACAGCGGTTAGCATGCTCGCCAACCATGCGCATAATCCGAGGTTCAATCCTCGGCCACTGGACGCACTCATTTACCTCGCAAAGCCAATAATAGTACTGGAAAAGAGGGAAGGTTGGGCATGAGGCTAGCAACCCCATCCTGTAAAAATAAACACAGCTACAGAAACTTCAAGCGTCTAGCTTGGAGCCCTATGTTCCCCTGGGAACGTGAAGGAAATAAGAAATCCTGTTTGTTTGTTTATTAGATGTATCACAAAGTGAAACAGTATTATTTACTGGATGATGTTTCGACATTTAGTTTTGAAAGTGTCAGTTTATCTACACATATACCAGTAAATATGGCTATAGGGGCAGTCTGACCAAGAACTTGAACTTAGGACAAAAGTGCCACTTTAGGACGCAATGCTGTAGCGCAGCTATGCCTGACTTCCACAGTATTTACATTTCAAAGGAAAATATACAAACAGACTGAGGGTGTTGCCATGGGGTCACCAATATCTCCAGTTGTGGTAGATATATTCAATGGTAGGTAGGAGAAGACAGCGATTGAAACGTTCAGCTCCACCCCAAAAGTATGGTGGAGGTATGTAGATGACACATTCATTGCACTTAGAACACAAGACATAGATAGATTTTCCGAACACATTGACTCGAAGGTTGGGGTAATTCAATTCACTTATGAATTGGAAATTAAGGAAGGAGAACTTCCCATGTTAGATTGTAGCATAAAAAGGAAAGAAGATGGGAAGTAAAACATTAGCGTTTACAGGAAGCCCACACATTCAAGCAGATATTTCGATCATCCGATCAGCCCATCCTATGTCAGTAAAAAAAAGATCGGTGAAATGTTTAGGTGACAGAGCATAAAAACTAAGTAGTACCAAGGGAAATCTAAGACAGGAAGTGATACACATAAAAGAAGTCTTGAAACTTAATAATTACCTGGATAAATTAGTCAGGAAATATGTAAGTAAATGTAAAAATAAAATAAATAATGATAGTAGCGGTAGTGATAATAATAATAGTAATAATATTAATATTATTGACGACACCAACAATAAGGAATTTAAATCATCAGTAGTAATTCCATACAAGGAAGGAACCTCGGAAGCCTTACGCAGAATTCTTAACAAGGCAAGAATAAAGTGGCATTCAAACCCACAAACTCAATTAGAAACAAGCTTTGTCGGTTAAAGGATCCTGCCAGTAGAGCTTTTAGAACAAAACAGTTTAGTTTATCTAATACCCTGCTTGCGATGATTGTCAGGTCAAATACATAGGTCAGGGTAGTAGAACAGGTTCAGTCAGACTAATCGAACATAAAAACCTAGCAAAATCTAGATTAGTTTACCGGAATAAGATCAGAAGTCTAGAGAATATTTCAGCTATAGCACTCACTACATGCAGTTACACACAACCATACAATAGGATGGATGGAATAAGATGACAGTTTTAAAATCTAATGTC